TTGTGTTGTTATATCCATATCCATATATCCATTGTGCTGTTGTAGAAATATCCATATATCCATTGTGCTGTTGTAGAAATATCCATATATCCATATCCATATCCATATCAGTAACTGTATCCAGTGACATGTACAAGTATCAATGAATCAATATCAATAAAATCATGTAATAACAATATCAATAATTCAATCATATATTCACATTCATATGCATATTCAATCATTCAAATCATCAATTCAGAAAATTAGAAGCCGTACGATAAATCGGCAGCATAACGATAGTACACGGAATGTACACAGAAATCACAAATTAAAAAATTTACCAAATTGTCACAGATCATGAAAAATAACAATATAAGACTTTTATCGTACTGAAACAACATTTTTCAACATCATGATAATTTTCTATTGGATAAAAATCATACATAACTCAAAATAACTGGTAGAAACTTTATAGAAAATACTTAAATCGTGTAAAAATATCATATCAGAAACATATCAAAAGTTATGCGGTAAAACTTTCGTCAATACAAAATTATGCGCGTTATTCGGTAACGGAAACACAAAACTGAGCGCAGAATTATCAAAACTCGAAATCTTTGAAATCAAAAATAGGATTCAGAGTCCTTACTGCGAGATAAACAAATCTTCCAACTGCGTTGTCAGACGAAAAGCACTCCGTGGCCTCCAAAATCAAGCTTCTTCTTCTCTTTCCTTCTCTTTCTCTCTCCTGCTTTATCTCTCTCTTCAAAATAATTCCAAAATATCTCAAATCTGATACTTATCAAGCAGGATCGTCCAGGACGATGCCCAGATCGTCCCGAGATGAACTCCTCTGGACACGGATCGTACAGACGAAAATTAATTCCAATTATTTCGTCCCTGGACGATGCTCTCTGTTCAGTTCGTCCCGACGGTTCGTCCGGACCCTTACAGGTTCGTCGAGATGAAATTGACAGATTTCTTCATAATTTTCTTCAGTTCGTCCGGTACTAAGGCCAGTTCGTCCAGGACTAACAGCACTAAAAAATCAGCTTTTGAGGGATTTTACAGAGTCGAGCCCAAGTCAACTCGTGAGTCCCACATAACTCAGTTACACCCCTATTATGACTTGATATGAATTCATAGAATGCAATACATCATAAACATTTTATATAAATTTCCCTTAAAGTAAATCATTTTTCAAAAACAAATTACCACTTCATGACCTAATGTTGGATGAAAAACAAGAATTACTTAGAAGGTCGATCAACTATATGCAGCATACAATTGATTAAATTTATGAAGTAGATAAGGATTGTGTGTCACAACAATCACGAATGATTCATCAAAATTTAATAGATTTAATGCCTCATGACTTTGAAAGTAAATGAAAAATTAAACAATTTGAAATGTAAATGTTAAAAAACAAGTAGTGCTTTGCTTTGCGACACATTGATTGGATGTTGGTTGTTAGCTCTTGACGAGGGTTGTATTCTAGTGCACCATTTTCACTTTCAACTAAAAAAAAAAACAAAATAAAAAAATCCTACCAGCAAAATCATTGTATTCATATTATATCAATGTAAAGAAGATTAATTAAGATATTATTCAATAAATGCGGGGAATATATGTTTGGGTGCGGCAACTTAAAAATTGGCCACAAAGATAGCTTATATTGCACTATTGCTTCACATAAATTCATAGTTGTGTGTGCTAAATTCTTGAGTCACTATTGTTGATAATGCATCTCTTGTTGATAAATTTACTAATTTAACTTTGGGTTGATGTTAGTCAATCTTGCTAATTCATAGTACAAGTTGTACACTAATTAAACCTTAATCTTAACTTATATAGCTTAACACTAAACCCAATTGACTTGGGATCTACATTTGTGGATTAAGTGATAAAGGAAAAACTAAGGGATTCAAAACATTTTTCAACCCATGGTCAACTTAATTCAAGCATGGTCAAACTTGACTTAGGCTAAACCAAGCTAGCTCAAACCTTAGCCAAGTCTATCCAATTTTCAATACTTAAAATCTTTTTGACTATTAAACCTTGGAAACACCCTTGATATGTTCATTGGACCAAATTGGATTATCCTAGTTTATCCTAAATCCATAGAGTTAACCCAAAGTCAAATTGGACAAGTTAAACTAATTTTAATTGACCTAAGCAAAATTAGTCAACCTTAGGTTTAATTGGCACCTATTTAGAATCCCAAAATCTCTATTAAACCTATTTTATTTATCTTGAGTTGACCATTGTCAATCAAATGAACCAAAATTGACTTATTTAGTCTAAATTCCAAATCAAACTAATTTGCAGTAGACCAAATGTGATTAAATAAAGTAAGAAATTCCTTGAGTTAATCTTGACTCCATGCCCTACGTAAAATCTTGGTGAGTCATTTAATTAGACATAAAATAATTAGATTTCATTTAAGAAACATGGAGGGGGCAGGGTGGAGTGGGAATAACATTAGTGCAATTTCAAGTGTTGCTACTCTTATGAACCCTTCCCACACTTGGCATGCACTCCCGACCACCTTCATATTGATGGACATACGACTTATGCTCTAAGTAGTTGGTTCCATGCAAAAGGAATAATCACCAAATAAGGTATCCTTAGGTAGGTTATCTAGAGTGAATAGAGCTTACTCCCGCTCTCTCTATATTTAGATGAATTATTTTGAAGCTCTTGATCTCATTTCTCTATGTAAAAACCTCCTAAACCATTGCCAAACTCAATGTAGCTCATTCCCTAAAGTGTTGAGATTATCTCAGCTTGATCATGTGCTTGCTATGGCTATTTGGAGCTTAGGGGAGGGCATGTAATCAAAATTAAGCTAGCTTATCAATTGTGATTAGGCAACAATTTTCATAAGCCTTAGGCCCATTCCCTATGCTTGGTCAATTGTTGCACACACATCATAGTGTTACATTTTAATCACACCATTATATAATTGTGGATTTATTGATGGATTTATATGTATTACATGCCTAAACCAACCAAGAAATAGTAGAAACCCCAATTAGATGAATTATTCTGGAGCTCTTGATCTCATTTCTGTCTTTAAAAACCTCCTAAACCATTGTATGAGATAACAAATAATTAAAAAAAAACCGTCAAAACTTCGGCTATCTACAATTTCACAACTAAGATCGAGTTTCACATTGATGTTTAGCCTTATGTAAGTGTATGTGATTTGTTTCCCTTATGCTTTATCCCATGGACCAATATACGTCATTGTGCATTAAAGTGTCATAGTATCAAGTTGAGCTATCTAGCTAACTATGATTTATGAGCAAAATTATTTAGGATAGTTTTAGAAAGTCATAACTCTATAATTTGAAGTCCAATGTTAGTGAAATAAATTGCATAATTTTACTAACATTCATGTTCTATTTAATAAAAAAAAACATGTTCATAATGCTATGAAGTATAATTTATTTACTATAGCTTCTCTAAGTTGAATATATAGTGTCTGTTTGAGATGTCAATAATTTTTTATAAAATTGATTATGAAATTGATGTGGTGAAAACAATTTAGCCATTATTGTTGTAAAAAATAACTTTCCACTACAAAAATTTTGAAAATGTAATGAGAAAATAACAAGAAAATAATAACCAAAATAAAATTATGATTGTTGTGTTAAGAGAAAACTAATGAGAAAGCTATTTCAAACAAACCCTTTTTATAGAAGAATTGATCATCAATTTTAAAAAGGTATGAATAATGTTGGTACTATCATTACAACACACAAATTTATTAACTTATATTAAAACATGTGTTAATATATTTAGCATAGAATATATATTTTGATTAATTTGCATGATGATATAGAAATGTGCACATGAATGAGTCATATTGTGTGTCATATTTTTTAAGGGCCAATTTGGTAAGCATTCTTATTTCTTTGCTTTTCAGCCAACAACTACAAAATCATTTGGCTACTATTTTCCTTCCATGTTCTCAATATTTTTTAAGAAAGTTTTGTAGTGGTAAGCTATTTTTTACAACTAAAGAAGCTAAGTTGTTTTCCTCACAACATCTTCACACTCAACTTTATAAAAAGCTATAGTCATCTCAAGCAGACCTTAAATATTTAATCCATATAACTTTTGTAATTAAATATATATATTAATTATTTAAATTATAATAAATAATATCTAATTAATTAAAAATTGTAATTAATTACATTTATTTTGATTTTAAATGAACAAGTCTTTTCAAGATTTTTTATTAGATTAGAACTACACGACTGTTTATGATAACTTTCTTGTTGCTTTGCTATTGAGACATCAATCATATTTTTTTTTGCCACTGCTAATTTCTTGCTGCCTTTTCACTATTTTTTATAAATTATTGCAGTGAAAGCTTCTTTGTATAACCATAGTAGCTAAGTTGCTCTCCTTACAACAACTTCACAACCAACTTTAGAAAAGGTTGCAACTGTCCCAAATAGACCTTATATCTCATATTTAATTTTGATCATTTCAAATTAGGATAATTAGCCTAATTTCTTGACTTGAATAATCAATACATTTTGTGCCCATTCCATGTTGATGATCTAAGAAGGCCCACATTCATGCATGTTGATGACACTCTTTAGCTTTCTTAAGTTATGGCAGAGAAAAAATTAGTTAATTTTTTAGAATTGATTCATTGATAACTGATAATCTCTTATAATAAAAGAAATGCATTATGCATATAAAAAATTGCCGAGATTAGGCATGAATCCTGACACATATTCAAATTAAAAATTTTTAACAATAGAAAAATATAATTAAAGAGATTAAGAGAAAGCAAAATGGGTCAACTTCAACAAAGGGCCACATGTTTCTCTCTTCTTAAGCCGCTTAAGATAATCCCAGCCTGTGACTACCATAAACCAACAATTATATTTTATTTAATCAACCAAAGCCAGGTGTTGCATTATTTATCAATTAGAACTTTACGGAAAAAAAAAAACCTTTATATTTACTATCAAAATATTATTTTATGTAAGCCGGAGCCACGTCTCTCTTAATTCACTCTTACCTTCTCTTCTTCCTTCTCTTACATAAAGCTTGATAGCCATTAATAGCCACCCAAACAAGCTTTCCACTTCCCTCATAATGATCCCCAAACCAGTCGTCACCTTCCTCTACCTCCTCGACCTTATCCAATACACCTTCTCTTTTCTCCTCTATTGCATCGGCCTCAACCCATCCTTTGAAGCGGAGCCGACGCCATGGGAGAACCAGGAACTCCTATTCTTCTCCCTCGACATCTCCATGGACTCCGCTGCCGAGTCTCTCAAGAGGAAGCTGCCTGTTGTTGACTACAAGAGCTTCCTCAAGAAGAAAGGAAAATCTCCGACGACTGAGTGTGCTATCTGCCTTCAGTCCATGGAGGCGAGAGACCAAGTTCGGGAGCTCAAGAACTGCTGCCATGCATTCCACGTAGCTTGCATGGACCGGTGGTTGGACCTCGGCCGGCTCAGTTGTCCGCTGTGCAGGACAGAGGTGGTTCCGGCTTTGGCCGGCCGGAGAGGACCGCTGTCGGTTTTGAAAGTTCTTTTGGTTGGGGATACTTATAATTGTAGTTCATGATAGTCGAATTAGTTCTCTTTTTAGGGTTAAGATCTTTGTTGTTAGAGGTAATTAAATCTTCTGTAATGCTTTGGTTTGTAAATTAATTGGATAGAGTTTGGTGTTTGAAGACTTTTGTGCCACCTGTTTTATAGATATTTATTTATTTTAGCTCTGTTCTAATTTATTCAGACATAAAATTACGTCAACAATTCGGATAATATTTGACATTTTATATTTTTATTCATGAAAATAAAAAATTCTTATTGAAAAAATCAGCAAAAAATGACATCTTGAGCAATAAAATTTTTTAATATTAGAAATATAAGAGATTAAATAAAAATATCTCCGCCATTCTACAAAAATTCTCAACGGTTGTTTTCCGCCACTTCTGCACCTCAAGTTATGGAGAAATTATTACATGCAGAGTTCCAAATCTGGGTATTTGCAAATACTCAATAAGTACTCATTAAATACTCAATTGTGAGTATTACTGAGATTTTTGTTAGTATTTGCAGAGTATTTTGTGAGTACACATTGAGTATTTTGTGAGTATTTGCTGATTTATTACGTATTTACTGAGCTGATTTATAAATACTTAGCAAATATTCAGTAAATACGCAACAATCCAAACGATTCTTCCGTTCGGACTCCACAAAAAATAATTTCTTAGGAGGAATATTACGTGCGGAGTTCATACGAGAGAACCATCCAGATTCTGTGAGGATACACAATTAAATACATAGTAAAAAATATAACTATTTATTCGTTGTGTATTTATTGTGTACCCTCACAGAATCTAGGCCGTTCTCCTGTCTGGACTCCGCATGTAATAATCTCTCATATAGGAGGCTCTCCTCCAACTCTTCTTACTTCTCAAAGATGGTTATGGGCCTGCTATATTAGGGTTGATGACTTGCGACATATCCATTATCTTCTCTTAAGCTTCGTTTATGACTGTTTTTTGCTGTTTCTTAAAATAGTTTTTTACTATAAAAAATGAGATCCATTTTCATTTTTTACACTAAAAAATTGTTTTAAGAAGTAGTAAAAAAAATGTCCCAAATAAACCTGTAGATAATCTCAAAGACTCAATGTCTCATTCTTATTTCTGGAATGCTCCGACTGAAAATGTCTCTCCTTTGTCTTCTACTAATGCTAAAATTTCTTCTATACACAGCAAAAAAGTCAGACTTCAATTCAATAAAAAATTTCTAATTTCTCTTGTCATGATTTTTTCTTCTTTAAGAATTCTAATTATGGGAGGACCATTTCTATGATTGAAGACTTATTTCAAGCTAATTCCTTAATTAATTATAACTATATGAATTTTTAAACGATCACTAATTTTATATTATATTAATGAATAAATTTTCTTAAAAATTTTCTCCAACAACCATTTTGTCATTGTTACAATCTAAGTTAATACATTTTTAGGCTCCGCATCTCCTATACTAATTAATGTTTTTATTATATAAATTTAAATGTTTATATAATTATATAAAATTAAATAGTTTTATAATAATTAGAAATATGTATTTAGTATTGATATATCATAAAAAATTATCTTGATCGAGCATGAATCTCAAGGTAAATTTGAATTGAAAACTTCTGAAATTAAATTCGGGGTCATTCGAGCTCTGATTTCAATAAACTTATAGTTGAATTGAACATCTCCGAAAGAAGGATTCAACGACACCAAACTTGATCCAATTCGTGCCCAAATGGATCCAAATTTAGGGCCTGAAACACATTTAGAATGTTCAAATCATAAATTAGATGATCAAGTGATATCTAAATGTGACATGCTTATAATTGAATCGAGCGGCTTAACGGGAAGAATCCAAAAAGCCTAAGATCGTCGAATTCTGACATCATTAGGTCACTTTAATTATTCGATAAACGGTCCATGATCAAGGGAGTCAATATTGGCCGTTTATTCGAAACACTCCAACATGCACTTGATCTTTTATTTATTTACTAACTATATATGCAACTTCAACAAAAATTATAGATAGACACCTCAGTAGACCCCTCATTCTTCATTGAAGGAGGATGAAGCAAGAGAAAGAAGAGAATAGAGGAAGAGAAATTTGGACCTCTCTTGCCCTCAGTTTCTCCTTCTTGACCACCGTCTGACCATCGATCATCGCCGGGTTTTCGCCCGACCATCCCGCCCGGCCACTTGCCGTTGCCAAACTTCCGCCAGGCCACTGACTGTTGTCGGATTTCCGTCCGTCCATTGACCCTCGTCGGACTTCCACTCTACCATAGTTGGACTTCTATCCGACCACCATCATTCATACAAAGTTGAAACCACTTCCTGGACTGTTGTAATGTTATCCTAAAGTTTATAGATAATCTTTGTAATCTATTCAAATGCTAGTTGAATCTTTTCAACTGAGCGTGTACTCGTAGTCTTTCTCTTTTCAAGAGTTTTTCACATAAAAATCCTAGTGTTTCTAATTTCTTTATTTGTGTGCTAGGTATCCGTGCATCAGTAAAAAGAAAGACTTTTTTACTTTATCGCCGTGAATATTCTACCCCACAACAAGTATTATAAAAGAATTCTCAAATGTACTCCTTACGAAGCAAAATTACATTATTTATATTTTTTTGATTAATTTTTTTCTGGTAAATATTATATCATTTTAAATTTTTTATAATATAAAATTGTATTAGAAACCCTTTGAATAATTTATTTCTTAACCATTTTTTAACTTCTAATTGTCTTCATTGCATGCACGATTTGTACAATATAAAATTTTTCTGATAATAAATATTTAGGCCTGCGTGGGAGTGCGAAGGCCCCACATACCATATGGCTGCTCGGTGGGTAAACCGCCTCATTGCTTTCTCCTTGGAATATTAGGTTAAGTCCAACAATTATTACATATCATGGGGCCTTTTGCATCAATTTGATTTTATTTTGACATTTGATAATTTTAGAATATATTATTTTTTTATTTTTATCAAATATTAAATAAGTTGATTTACGCGGTGGTGGGGACAGCTGCCGATGGGGCATCGACAGGGTTGATGAGTTGATGAGGATGATTATGATTGATGATGATGATGATGATGATGATGATTGCGGTAGATGACAACCAATTGTAGTAATTATTTTTTAAAATATTGAAAATGTATATCAAAATTATTTAGAATATTTGATATTCAAAAAATTTAAAAATTTATTATACAAATATGTTAAAAAAGTTTAAAAACAAAGAGTGTTCAAGTTAGACTTTATTTGGGAACGCTCTACTTTCAGGAATTTTTTGTACTAGAAAGCTGATTGTAGAAATTAGTAAGAAAACATTACCAAAAAAGCTATAGTGTTCGTTTGGAATAACTGCAGTTGTCGGTAAAGCATGTTGTGAAATTGTTGTACAGAAAGTTGATTTCTGAAGTTGCCGTACATAAATCAATATATTTTGTTTGGGAAGTATTACCATTGAGTTGCTGTGGTACGGTGCAGTTATATGGGAATAAATTATTTTTATACCTTTATATAGATTAAGTTGAAAGAAAATTATTTATATATATTAATTTTTTTAAAACTGAATATGATAACAAACTAATAATTTTAATTCAAAACTGTATGCAATTTAAGCAAATATTTAATAAGTTTAAAGAAAGAGTTTAATAAAATTTTTCATACAATGTACTATAATGCTTAAAATAATATGAAAAAAATTAGAATATCTGATAATACCCAAGTCTATTCACATTTATTGACATCTTGTAATTTTTATTTATAATAACATATTTTAAAAATTAAAAACATGCATTCATTTAGATGTTAAAAATGTATACTTTTCAACACGATAGGAAAGTTACGGATTTGCGGTAGACTTTGTGGCGGATATATTATTTATTGTGAAAAGTGACTGACAAATTTGTGACGAAAATTTTCAACAATTTTTTTGAGACGGATTTGCGGCAGAATTTTTCGTTGCAAATCCGCCGCAAGATAAGTTATAATATAAATAAAAAAAAGTGTTATGTTGTAGTTTGTCTCCGTGGCCATGTGGAGAAGGAGTTTTTATTTGGTCCGGTGCAAGGACCTAGA